AATAACACATGAACAATTATTATATTAAAATAATTGAAAATATTGACACTATAAATAAAGTTGTATCATTTTAGAAAGTTTGCACTTAACCGAGTATACAAAATGTGGTTCATTATGGATATGATGATATCCTGCATGCTAATGAGAAAATTATACCTCCTATCTACAAATAATATTTTTAGATTAATGAAGATAATTACATTTTTATCTTACACATTAAATATATATTTCAGTGTTCTAAAGTATCTCTAATTGTAAAATAATAAAAGAAAAAAATAAAAAATAACTTGATATCAAGATTTTACTTACCTTTTTACTTCATTTTAGATTTTTTTTTAATTTCAAGATTTTTAATTCGAAAAAAAATAAAAAAAAACTTAAACAAGATTCATATTTAGTTTACTCTAAAAAACAAGTTGCAAAGCCTTAACTCAAGCTTAGACCATTAAAATTTGTTTATCACAAAGGCCCATGGACATAAGGCTATATGCCCGCTTCTCAATCTAAAGGACCTTGTGTTGCGTTGGCCCCTGTATTGGTAAGGCCGAAAAAGGAAAATCAAAAATCAAAATGGAAAAAAAATCCGACCTGCCGGATTCGAACCAGCGACCTAAGGATTATCTGTTGGGTTACCCTACTACAGTCCTCCGCTCTACCAACTGAGCTAAGGTCGGTTTTTGATGTCCTAAAATCAACCAATTTATTTAATAACGTTTTATAAATTTCTTCTCATTTTATTTTTTTTTTTACATGAAATTGATTGTTAATTTCACATTTTTCAAGGGCAAATTCGTTGCTATACTACAAAATGGAAGTAAGAAATTCTTCACGCAATTCATTCAGACACCAGCATTTAGCCTCTGTATGATCAAATGATATGACTCAATGCCCTACAAACAGTAACATATACCCATGCATGCCTTAGGTTTATTGTCCTTTGGCATAACTTTCACAATTTATAATATGCATGGCCTTACACTAACTTCCAAATAGGTATGTGCATGAAAATAATATATAAAAAACATATCACCCACCATAGATTTTGGAACATGTGCCTGTCGGTATTTGCAAAAAAAAAAAAAAAAATCATTTAGAAAACTATTGTTTTTGCAGAATTTAATTGCATGACAAAAATTGCAAGAAAAAGGGAAGAACAAGTGCTCATTATTGAGCAGCAAGCCACGTGATTTATTTGTCATTTAGTCCTTTGTTTGATTTACATCTGCTCCTTGTTGTGTATGTCATTTTTGGTGTAATTGACACATGACATGGCCCATATAAATGTGTCTGATTTTATTTTTATGGCGTTACATTATTCTTTCCCCCATAACCCTAGTAATGGTGGCCCAGCTTCCAGATCTAGCAATTTGGTTCCACCTCCATAATAATAGAATTTTCAATCACTGCAGTCACTTGAATATGTACAAATTTATTGATTCAATTGGGAGTGAGAGAGGGGGCTTAAATCTGTAAAATCAACATTTCCTCAATGGTTAAGATGCTTGTTCAATCTATAAAATGAATACAACGCACACCCTGTGACAAACAAACTATACTATTGGACACGTGTGCGGCCAAGCAACGATCAACCTATTAAATGATCATTCATATCACCCGTCAATTGTCATCCAATCAAAGAAAAGAAGAAAAAATAAATAAAAATACTTTAAAAATTCCATCACATCATTTGCTTGATCATATAGTCTAGTAGCGCAAAATTTCCAATCAGAGTCGCTTTCTGAATCTTGCTCTATGCCAATTATCTCTGGGCTCCATTCAAAATCTTCTACGGTCTATTTTCGCCTAACCGTGGAATATACCTTAAATTTACAATTATACCTTAAAATGAACTTAATTATTCGGACATATTGCATTTTTCTTATTAAAAATTGTATCCAATTGCATTTTTTGTCAAAATTTACGGGACCCACTTTATTTATGACCCTTGGTTAAGTGCCCGACCACTGCCATTTTCTTCCCCTCTTCTCATCGATGCTTCTCTATCTTCCCCTCCATCTATTTCATCTCTAAGACTCTAATCTCTCTCTCCCTAACCATTGTTGAGTGATCGAGTACTGTAAGGAAAAATAAGAGATTATATATGCATACATGATATATAAAGGGAGTGGGTCGAATACACCTCTTGTAGCGCAGCGGATGAACAACCTCTAATATCGCACTACAAGTTTACTGACCGTAGGAGTAATCACGATCAAACGAAAATGCTCATGTTGTCCAAGGTCTAAAAGCTACGAAAGAACGCATTCTCTTTTTCTTTAAATTTAATTGGATCACCGTAGGTTGAAGGAATTTAACTAAACACAAATTCTATAAAATAATAACCGACTAAAATATTTAAATTTATTTGAATACTCATAACAATAATTAGACATATTAATTATTATCATATATTATTGATGGACCCAGGTTAAAAAGACTAGTTATGGTCGTACCCATACCATATCCGTCCATTAATCCCAACAAATACAAATTTGTCATTGCAAGGATCATAGATAAATTAATAAAGTGAAATTATTTTCTCAGAAACCAAACTGGAAAAAAGAATTTACGAATGAGGAGTGCAGACATAAACATTAAAATGGCCATCAAGAACAAGAGCTTCGATGAGAGAAATGAGGCCAGACGACTCTATTCCTTCTCCATTAGTGACCAAAACTATTTCCTTTTTCACAATCACCATAGAAATTGCTTTGGAGACTACTTGAAGAAGAAGAAGAAGAAGATGCAATAAAAGCTCTGGATTAAGGATCACTGTAAATATCACCGTTAGAGGTTTGTTCTACACCGGCATGGACGAAGTCATTTCTAGCGATGAGAACTTGCTGGAGATTTGAAATGAAAGACGGAGGCAAGAAGTTGTTGACGGAGGTTGTCATTTCTTGGATTTGGAGTAGAAAATAATTAGCAAAAAAAATGGTTAGTTAATGCTATTTGTAGAGAGGTTAGGGTTGAGACGATGAAAGAGGAAGAGAGAGAGAAGTATCGATGAGAAAAGGGAGGGAAAATAGCAAGTGTTAGGGTTAGTTTAAGTGAAACGCTCATTTCACTTAACCAAGGGGTGATTAAGAGACCCCAACAATTAAAATGCATCTCACAAATAATAATTTTTGTTGTATGATTTTGATCAAAAAATGTAATTGGGGTACAATTTTACCAAAAAAAAAAAAAAAAACAATTAAAAGCCTGAAGGGATAAATTCGTTTAGAGTGTAATTGTTACAACGCGCAATATTGGGAATATATTATTTATTTTCAGTCTGAATTTATATCATATTGATCCATCAATTTGTTCGTATTTTTTTTCCATATGAAATAATTTGGTATATTAAATTAATCATTTCACTCCTCTCAAGCCGATGTTACGTAGCTTATAGTATTATTTACTTACGAGCCTTCTAATAATTAAAAAAAAAAAATGTCACATAAAAAATCAAAGCATGCGTAGTATTTGAGGTGATAGATCATTGATCGAGTTGGGCACTGAAAGCACATCAAGGGTTTCTACTTAATGAACTAAATAATAATAAGAACCGTCCAAATGTAGTTGGACAATGCACTTGCTCGGCTACATTATTAATTTTGAATGTCAGTGATGGGTTCCTTTGACAGTAACAATTTGTTTCAATTATGAAATAAAATATCTTGTATTAATATTCAACCAAAAATATTTTTGTTACCAAATCTAATAATTGTAAAAATTATTTTATAAATTTTATAAAAGTTAACTTATTGTAATTCACTTAAATTTTATAGGCACTAGCATGGATGCTTAGGTTTTGTTTAAAAAAGGATACAGAAGGAAAATAATGAAAAACTGTCAATTTTTTTTCCTTGTTATTTTTTACAATTGGGTTTAGATATAATGAATAAAATAAATAAATTTATTTTTCTTTATTTAAAAAGAGCAAAATTTTAAAGGAAAAAAATGTGAACATATATTAATTATTAGCCCTAAAATTATTATGTACAATGTGAAAGATTAACCATCAAATATTAATTATCATAAAAAAAGGAAAATAAAAAAATAGATATCATAACGGGGTTCGGACTGAACAGGCTTATATCGATTTGGTTTGTTTAGATTTTTAAGAAAGTAGTTAGCGTTTGGTTTGAATAGTGAAAACCGAATAGTTGTCAATTTTGAATTTAGTCATTTGCTGTTAACTAAATTAACTTTTACGACCAAAAGAGATGATTCAGTTCAAAATAAATGAATCAAATCCAAATCAATAAGGTTTAGTTTGGTATTGAATCAGTTTTCAAAGTGTTTGGTCTGATTTGGGTCAACATAAAATTTATTCAATTAGATCGAATCAATTCAATTTAGTCCGGTTGGATTAAATCAGATGCTCACCCCTGTGCATATTGAAAAAACATCATTAATTAGATTACACAACACAGGTAAGCCTTAATTAATTCTCTTTTCGGAGGTTAAGCAATGCCATTTCTACGCTATAATTAATATTGTACTTTCTTCGAATTTAATAATAATAAAACCAAAAATAATAATATGACTAAAAATTAGTGAGGTCATCATGTCAGGCAAGATGCCAAATTGGCGGGAAATATCTACTCCAACCGTCAAATGAGAGATTTTAGCCGACTTCACAATTTTAATAAATAATCATTAAAAAATTAAAAATTTCTTCCGTTAATTAATCATAAATAATATTAATCAACGACTCATAAAATTTGTTTAAATTACAAAATACTAAATATATATAATTATATTTCAATAAAAATTAATTTGAAATAGACCTCGGCTTGGCTTTTTTTCGATGTGGACATGTGTTTGTTTAGTGATGGCTTCTTTATATGCGAGAAAGGAGCCTAGAAATCTGTACTAATCAAAGCCAAAGCTGTAGACTTCAAAATACACAGGCTTGGGAGCGGCAATTAGAGAAAGAAGAGAAGGAGAGAGAGAGAGAGAGAGAGAGTTGCGTTCAATATTCCAAGGTATAAAATACAAAAATGCAGGATTTCCCGTGAGGATTCACAGGCCATTAATGACATAACCACCACTTTTAACATAATTTCACGCATTTCACTCTCATTTTCTTCTCTTCCATTTTCAACCATCTAAAAAATGCTTTCTTTATCACTTCCCTTCAACTCCTCCTGTTGATTTATATATATTGCGTGATTAAATCTTCACATCACCTTTTGGGTATGTGATTTCTGCTTTAATCTTTTTTTTTTTTTCAAACGTAATTTTTGTTTTCCAGTCAAAAGTTTGTTTCTTCAGATTCTGGATACTTTAGATTCTTGATCCTTACAACTTTTCTTATCTGGGTATTTCACAGATTTCGATTTTTTTAATTGAAATCTTGCTTTTCTGGGTTTGCTTAGATTTGGTATTTTGCATCATTCCTCGAGTTAAAGCATGTGAACAACTGTCATTATTTATTTATTTATTTATTTATTTTAACATGTCACCGTTTCAGTTTCTAATTGATTTATTTACCTTTGTGTGATTTGTAGTTTGCGTGATTACTCAATTTGGAACTCTGCTTAATTGGGATTTGTGTCTTGAGTAATTTTGGGGCTGAAACAATTTTGAAGTGTGATCCATCATTGTCATCATAATCTTGAGGTTGGTGTGAGACCATTGCAATGGATTCTTGCTGTGTGCCCCTGAAAGCCAATACCCATATGGCACAAGCTAGCAGAGCTGGTTTTAGGAGTGGGGATAAAGAGATTTTGGGTGAAAATATGAGAGGGAGTCTAAATAAGGGTGTTTGGTTAAATCAGCTGACAAGAAGCTTAAGAGTTGAGAGGAATGTCAATAAGGCCAAACCTGGTGTTGCTTATGCCGTTTTAACATCAAACAATCCCAAGGAGGTCGTGGTAAGTTGATTTTTTAATCTGTAGTCTGTTTGTAGTCCTGATGTTTGATCATTTTATTACATTTGTCAGATTCAAAATTTTCTAATATGTTAACATGATTGATTTTGGTTGATCTTGATTTGAAATATCACATTTATACGGTTTACTCCAATTTTATGTTTTTGATAAACATACGTTGAGGTGTAAATTTAATTTAACTCTTCTCAATTTTTTATATACGATCTTTAGACCTTACAACCACCAATATTTGAAAGGCGGAAAGTGGACCCAAAAAATGTAGCATCAATCATATTAGGAGGAGGCGCAGGGACTCAGTTGTTTCCTCTTACCAGAAGAGCAGCGACACCAGCTGTAAGAAAATGTGTCCATCTTCAAATTTTAATGACTATTCAATCAATTATCTGCTCAAGTTTTTGATTGAAGAATAATTATTTTTATAGAGCATGAGGTTTGATTAACCAGTTCGTGTTATACTGCAGGTACCAGTGGGTGGATGCTATAAACTTATAGATATTCCTATGAGCAACTGCATCAACAGTGGGATACATAAAATATTTGTACTGACCCAATTCAACTCTGCTTCCCTTAATCGACACCTTGCACGGACATATTTTGGAAATGGTGTTAACTTTGGGGATGGATTTGTTGAGGTATGATTGCTTTCTAGATGATGCCTTACTGCTACTTTGTATTTCCATTTTGGCACAAGGAAAATGATCTTTTTCAACATCGAATTCAGGGTGTTTTTTCACATTTTTCTTGTTATATTTGAGTTCAAATTCCTTATATAAAATTGTCATTACTTTATTGAAAAGTAGTTTTGTCTTGTGATTTTTTCATATTAGCAACTATATGCACACACGCATAACGAATTTTTACAATCAAATGTAATTTTTTATGTTATTGGATTGGAAAGTGAACTAAGATTAAAGGATGTGAGCTTTTAATAATATAAGAGAAGAACTTTGCTTTTGGAATTCATTCTTATGATCGGATTATAATTTGCAAACCATGTGTTTAAAGTGTTTTAAGACATGTAAGCAGCAGGCGTCATGTGTCTTTATGTTACAACGGTAAATTCCAAGTTGAACTTACAGTGTGAAAGACAAATTGAAAATAAAAAATTGCTCGGAATTTTAGTACTTTATCTGAAAAACATGATGAGTCTCCCCACTAGGTTCTGGCAGCAACTCAAACTCCTGGAGAAGCAGGAATGAAGTGGTTCCAAGGAACAGCAGATGCTGTGAGGCAATTTGTATGGGTTTTTGAGGTGAATATGAAAGCTTTTGTCCAAAATCACTTCATAATCATGAAACTTATATGAATATAGTCATGTCTTGAATTATTTTCTGATAAAAATGTGCTAATTCTTGTAGGATGTCAAGAACAGGAACGTTGAGAATATACTGATCTTGTCTGGTGATCATCTTTACCGAATGGATTATTTGGACTTGTTGCAGGTATTCTATCATTCCCCCAATAGCATTGACTCATAATATTTTAGATCTAAAATCTGGCTTACCAATTTGCTATGGATCAACAGCATCATGTTGACAGTAATGCTGATATCACAATATCATGTGCAGCAGTCAGTGAGAGGTTTGTTCAATCTGTGCCTCAAGTCATGTTTTTCATGATCAGGTCTATTTCACCTGTACTTGTGTTCTTTGTTATTTCATCTAAATTTGAGTGGGTAATTGGCAGCCGTGCATCAGACTATGGTTTGGTGAAGCTAGACAGCAGGGGCCAGATTATTGATTTTGCTGAAAAACCTAGAGGTGCTGAACTGAAATCAATGGTGAGGACTCCATGGATAATTTTTATGCTTACACATGCCTTCTTTATAGCTTCCTCTGAAATTACATGACTCTCTCATTTTACATAAAATAGGTAATAGCTAAGTGACGATTTTAGCGTCGGTTGCCAATTATTTGTGCTCCCTTAAAATTTAGTTTTTAGGAGCAAGATTAATATCTTCATTCATGCAACATAAAAACATTAAACTCCCAATAAATTTCTTTGAACTTTTTGAAATTCATTTCTACCGGACAAGGTTTAAATTACCTCAATTAAATTATAATTTTTTCTTGTTTAATTTCATGCAGCAAACGGATACAACTCGTGTAGGCTTGTCTCCACAAGATGCGCTGGAATCCCCTTATATTGCATCAATGGGAGTATATGTCTTTAGGACTGAGATTTTGTTGAAGCTTCTGAGGTGGAGATATCCTACATCAAATGACTTTGGATCTGAGATCATTCCTGCTGCTGTTGCTGAGCACAATGTCCAGGTAAGAATTTTCCAGAACTTGAATAGTGTAGAATATTTTTCCCCATCATTTTTCTGAGGGCAGTTTTCAGCCTAGAACAACACCTTTTTCACCCTTTTTCCCCCCCTCTCTCTTTCTCTTCTCTCTCTCGATCATGATATATTTTTCTCATTAACATTTAATTTGTTCTGCTACTAAGTTTGTATATGTATAATGATAGAAATACCTTGTTTTGACTTTTGACAGGCATACATTTTCAAAGACTATTGGGAAGATATAGGAACAATAAAGTCTTTTTATGAAGCTAACTTGGCTCTAGCTGAAGAGGTTGGTATTCTATCATCATAGAAGTGCCAGTTTTTGATTTGATATCCTTTTTATCTATGTTACTTTTTAGCTGTACGTCGATGGCGTGCCTGGAAAAAACATATGATTTTTTTATATTGGTTTCTTCTGCCATATAAATATTAGTATTTGTTATTTTAGTGATTTCCGATGCATGGATTTGTTTATTTTCTGTATTTGCTATGAATCAATATTGATTATAGATATTCTAGATACTAGAACTTGCTTCTTTTCATTGTAACAATGACTAACAAATTCACATTGACTATAACACTTCTGCAGCCTCCGAAGTTTGAATTTTATGACCCAAAGACGCCCTTCTACACGTCTCCTCGATTCCTACCACCAACCAAAATGGATAAATGCAGGGTTTGTGCTGTCATCCCTTCAGATGAAGTTTGTGGCTATATTGATCCACTTGCTTATTATTCTTCAGTTGGGTTTTGCAGATTGTAGATGCAATAATCTCTCATGGATGCTTCTTGCGAGAATGCACTATCCAACACTCCGTGGTTGGTGAACGCTCTCGTTTAGATTATGGTGTTGAGCTAAAGGTGAGTTATCACTCATTTAGATTATCTTTCTCTCTCATAACATAGTCGATTGATTGGTAACTCTCTTTTGTCCAAATTTAGGACACTGTAATGTTGGGAGCAGACTACTACCAAACTGAAGCTGAAATTGCATCTCTTCTGGCAGACGGGAAAGTACCTATTGGCGTTGGAAGAAACACAAAAATCAAGTATTATACTCGGAGTCTTCTAAAAGCTACTCAGATGAAAAATAGAAATGCTGTTTTGTGTTTTCATATTCCTATTTATATTATGTTGTGCAAACTTTAAATAATAACTACAATTACTGAAATTGCTTTTTCTGATGTTAACTTAATGATTTTTCTCTGAAGGAACTGCATAATTGACAAGAATGCGAAGATAGGTAAAGATGTGGTTATCATGAACAAAGATGTAGGTCACACCTCTTGATTAATTTCTACAAAGAACACTGAGATCTTTGATATATGGAGAGAATTTAAAATGTATCTGAATGTTTTTGGCTTTGCAGGGTGTGCAAGAAGCAGATAGACCAGAAGAAGGATTTTACATTCGGTCTGGAATCACCATTATAGCAGAGAAGGCAACAATAGAAGATGGAATAGTGATATAATAGATGTCAAGTATGTGCAGGGACCGACTCGAAAAGGGTTCCAAGAGAGGTACATCTCGAAGCAGGTTGGTAAGTTGCCTGGTGAAGGAGCTAACAGAATGTCAATAGCAGCATTTTGGTCTCACACGAAGAAGCAAGCTTCTGCACATTCTTTATCATATGTAAATTAGAAGGTTCTTTTGTGCTCATAAAACTAGAGCTTCCTTTTCAGAGTTATGGTTGCAATAAGCCCTCAGATAAATAAAAGAGCTTATGAGTTAGCTTTTTTGTTTCTTGTTTAGAATAGATATGCTTAAAAGACTAGATAACCTTTGTATCAGTATGGTATGGATTTTAATAATGTGGTGAAGCCTTTACTTGTACTAAAACCTGTTTTTTGTGTGAATATATGAATAATAAGGCTTTACATTTCTATTTCGTTCATTTTTTCATATGGAATAATTTTTGAATATCAATGTTGGTTAAAATTTTCGAATCTAGTATATTATTGTGTATAAATCAGTTATCAGCTACTGAATCAAATATTCTTTAAGCATTTTATTAATCTATCTAATGTTTAATGAATTTCGTAGTAAATAAAATGTGAAATATTCAAATAAATCTCAGCAATTTTCATACTTAACCCTAAATACAATTGACATATACAAAATACATATCAGAAAATCTTTTGATTTTGCTAAAATCCAATCAAATCTTATTTCCTAAAATCAGCAAATGCTTTGCATGGTGAGGTTGGCTTCATATGGAGGAAGACAGACACGTGTACTAGGCCTGCAAGATTGAAATAAATGACTAAGTGGCAATCAAAGTGTGATGTCCATCAGAAAACTGCCACTTGGAGGTTTTTTTAAATGACACATGTCCAATATGCATGAAGAGTGGTGGGGTTAGGGCATTGTAGGAGGGTGAAGGCAAAGAAAAAAGAAAAACACACACTTTAAAACAATGCAAGAATTAAAAGAGATGAATGTATGGCAAGTTGAAGATGGTAAAGGGGTAATAGAGAATATAAAGAACGATCAAAAACAAGAAATTGACCCTTGTACAGCTCTTCAAATATTTCTTGATCGCATCCCTATCAGTTCTATCCCTGGCATTCAAAATTCTCCTGGTATATTCTGCAATTTCTTTCTTCAATTTAGTATTTCTGATGATTACAAGAAGTGCTAATTTTAAAACAGTAGGGATCAAAAGCATATTGAAAAAAACATTATATGGATTTTGTAATTAACCCCATTTTTAAATTTGTGCTTAGTTGTGAATTTGAAAGCTGGAGATAGTATAAAAGATTCAATTCAGTTGTTGCATGAGAAGAATGTGTCTGGTGCTCCTATTACTGATGTTGGAAGATTTTCAAATCAATATGTGGGGTTTATTGATTTTGTGAGCTTAGTTCTTTGGTCTCTTGAGGTAACTTTATTTTTTGACCTAACCTATAATGTCATTCTTGAGATGTTTCTCTTCATTTATATTGATAAAAAAATGTGAGTTCTTATTGTTTTAGCAATGTGAGAAGGCCCATATCCAAGCCAAGCACAATAGTGGTGGTGATGATGGGACTGGTAAAAGTAGCTTCTTTGCCTTGCTTGAACAGAATCCCGAAATTGGAGAAACAAAGGTATTTGACTGGATGCTAGCATTTTAATTGTGTTTCAAGGCCATGTTTGGTTCTCTGTAAAATTGGACTACAGTGCAATTTTTAAAATACGATTAAGAGTCTGTTTGACATTGAGGTTGAAATTGCTTTTTTGTAAAGTGTCATTTTAGAGTTGGAAAAGAGTTTGGGAGTGCTGTTTAGCTATTTTGAGATTTTAATTTATCACAGGAATATGTAAAACTTACCTTAGAAATAAATCATTCTTCATAAAGTGTTTTCTCCAACACCAACTTAAACAATAATGTCAAACGTACTCACTGTTTTTTTTTTTTTTTTTTTTTTTTGAGCTGGTATAAGGTTTCTGCTATATGTTCTGCTTTTCCTTCAAATTAAGTATTTCTGAAGTGAATTACGAGAGATAAGTGCTAATTTAAAAACAGTAGGGTTCAAAAGCATGAATTTGAATTTAGATGAGAAACAATTGACTGATTGATGTTTGTAATTATAGCGGGGAAGGGCAGTTTGAGCCATGTTTTATATTTTGTGCTTAGTGTTGTGGAGGAGGTTTGAAAGCTGGATGTATAGTATAAAAGAATATTCCGAGAGTTTCTCAGTTGTTTGCAGTGGAAGGAAATGGTTTTCTGGATGCTCCTATTACTGATGTTGGAAGATTTTGAATATCAAATTATGGTGGGGTTAAGGTGTGAATTTTGTGAAAGCTTAGTTCTTTGGTCCTCTGAAGGTACTGTTATTTTTTTTGGAGGGGCCTTACCTAAGATGTGTGGGTAATGATATTCTTACTTTGAAGATGTTTCGGCTTCATTTATATTGATTAAAAAATGTGAGTTCTTTATTGTTTTAGCAATGTGAGAAGGCGCAATTTAGCCGCAAGCTTCAGAGCACGAAGTAGAGGGTGTGGTGTCTGATGATGGACTGGTTATACAAGTAAGTATCTTTGGCTCCTTGCTTGACAGAATCCCGAAATTGGAGAAACAAAGGTGATTGTGACTGGTATTGGCTAGCAATTTTAATTGTGTTTGCTTATAGGCCATGTTTTGGTTTACTCGGGTAGAATTTTTTGATCTGGCAGTGGGCAATTTTTTTGGTTTTAAATTAGCGTATTAACACGGAGTTCTGGTTTGACATGTGATGGTTGTGAGAACTTTGGTCTTTATTTTTTTGTTTTAGAATGTTTTCTTTTGTCATTTGTGAGTGAGTTGGAAAAGTATGTTTGTTTGGAGTTGCTGGTTTGTAGGTATTTTTTGAGTATTTTTAATTATATATCTACATTGGGAGATTATGAGGAACTTACCTTAGAAATAAATTTCCATTCTTCTATTATCGAAGGTGATTTTTCCTCCACAGCGGAGGGAATCTCTAAACATTATTTATATTGTTCAATCGTACTCATTCATAGTTTTTTTTTTTTTTTTTGTGGTTGTTTTTATGTGTTATTTTTGGTCTTGGGTACGTCTATTTTGTGATATTTGGTGAGTGAGACGGGGTGTGTCGGAGTAGGTTGAGGTCTTAAGGGTCGAGTTTGCCTTCGGATGGGATCCTTTGTGTTCCTGGCTGGAATAAAGTGTATGGATGGCACACATTGTTTCCATGTTCTGATGCTTAGTATCTTTCAAAGTCATTTTCGCCTGGGCCTGCGGTTTTTTTTTTTTTTTTTTTTTTTTTATGTTTCTGTAGCTATTTTGTGATATTGGTGAGTGAACAGGTGGCAGAGTTAGCTAAGTCATTCCTATGGGATCCATTTTTCCCTGTAAATTTGGATGACACATTGTTTCATGTTCTGATGCTTCTTTCAAAGCACCGCCGGCTGCAGGTTGTGCCTGTTATAGAGCAATTGGGGTTTCAAGTCATTGGTTTTGTAACACAGGTGCTTACAATCTGGTTGCTACTGTTGTTTCTGAATTTTACTAGCATTTTGAGAAACACACAGAATTGACAATTTCTCATGTAACTATAAGTCAGTATATTTTCTTGGAATAGAAGTTACAAATAAATGTTGAATCTTTTGGTAGAATGCAGTAATCCAGTTGTTGCTTCAATCAAGTGGACTAGAATGGTTCGATGGCATTGCAGACAAGGCATTGTTTGAATTCCGGTATAGTAAAATTTACCATACACATTTCAACTCATGAATTTGTTGATAGATGATAGATAGATATATGAACTATGAAGTTGTTTGTTCACCCATTTTTAATTTCTCATGCTATGCAGCTTCCCAAGTGAAGAACAAGTCATTCTCACATATGGAGACCAAAGCATAGCAGAAGCTCTGCACATTTTGTGGGAAAGTCGAATAGTTGCAATTGCAGTTATTAATCGAGAAACTGAAAAGATCATTGGCTGCTTCAGTAACAGCGATGTTTATCTTCTTTTAGAGAATGATGAACTACTTGACAACAGAAAGTAAGTTCAATTACAACTTTTATTCTATCTCCCTGGTGTTTCTATTGAGGTACTGAGTATCGAGTATACTGGAGTTGAGTTGATACAATCTGCTACCCAAGCACGATTCAAGGCTTGAAACTCATTTGAGCTGAAGGGTGTTATTTTTTTTATCATATTTAAGTTGATACAAATATAGCCGACTCCAACTAGTTTGGAACTAAAGTTTGGTTATTGTTGTTGTTTGAGTTGATACAATAGGCCGAGTTTTGAACATCTTAACAACTTGGAGAAAAATGACCTGATTGTTTGATGCAATTGCAGGAAGATAACCGTGGCAGAATTCATTCATATGGAAACAGGAAACGCAGATGCTGATCCGGCCATTGAACAAGACTTGGGGGCTCTCTTCTCAGCTGGAGCTCTTTGTCTAAAAAGCAGATTCCTACCAAGAATGCATTGTCCGGTTACTGCCAAAAGAAGCGACACTCTCAAGCAAACAATGAAGAAAGTAGCAGAGACAAAAGGCAATTTTTGTTTTCTAGTTGATGATTCACAGAAACCAATCGGCATGTTCACATTAAGAGATATAATTATTCAGTTTGCACCTCCTTGCATAGATTCAGGTGTTCATGGAGGTGGTTTCTTTGAATCTGCTCTAGAACAGACAGGGTGCCAAGTCAAAAATGGAACCATTGTTTGTGATCATTAACTTGTTTATAAATTATCAGTTCAATTTCAGTAATATTTGAAATTACCATTTTAATAGCTGCTAATTTCAATTTATTCCAATAAAATCACCATTTTATTAGGATTTAAGGGAATAGTAGTCTAAGAGGGAAAATTTGACTCTCGTAAAATTCGTATCAGTTTTAAATTAAGAGTTTGTTCGTCAATAATAGCTGTTTTAGTAGCTCTTTAACGGTTTTATGAGTTGTATAGCTGTTTATAGGAAAAGTGTTGAATTTAAAATGACAAAAAAGAGACATTTAAATATTGAGTTAGAATTTTAACTTACTATAGTAGTTACCTTATTATAAAAAAATGGTTAATTTATAGTGTTTAGTCCAGTTATATAAATTGAAATTGTTATCATTTCTAAAATGATAATACAATTTTCTCATATATTCCTCTATTAATTCATTATTAAATTATTTTGTTTAAATTTTTGTGTAAAACAATGTAATTTTTTTAACTTCCGTATCATAGCAAAAGACTTTAAATTAATGTTGATATGAATTAATTAAGGATAATATAAATTAATTAAGGATAATCAAAGATATAATTGTCAAAAAAATTTTAATCAAAAAATAGAATGCTAAGATTGGATTAACGTTTTAATAAACGCTATCTTATCCATTAACAGCTATTTTATATACTATTTTATCAAACTATACAAAAATAGTGTTTTGACACCCTCAAAACTGTAAATTCTCCTTCAAAAGCTTTTACCGAACAAAGCCCGATCCTAGTGTACATACGTGACAACAACACAATATACCATATAGTAAATAATCTCTTTCAAACATTTTCTTAGGTTGAAGTTCGTGTGAACAGACGGGAAATTTACACATGGAAAAGTTATCTGCACTGCAATTTGTTTATTTGAATTATGGGAATAAATCTGAGATGATCAAATTCAGTTTGTTGAGCAGATGAGCTTTTGTGGATGTCGAGTTAACGTTGATATGTATGCTGTGGTAGTACTTATTATTTGCTGTCTAATTTCTGTGCATATTTGTTTTCCAACGTTTGCAGGTGTTTATTTGATCTGTGATGCTCCTGCTCTTTCACATGGCCCTTACCCTGGAACTGTGCACTCTGCTCTGTTGTTTCAGTTTGTTGGAGATTGAGAGGAGATAAAACAAAGAAAGCAATATGGCAGAGTTTAAGGAAGTAAAAAACAAAGTTGATGCAAATACAGATCTTTTTATCTTTCTTTTCTTCTTCATTTTTTCTACGTAAATTAATATTCTTACAAAGCTCTCTCCTCTCAAACTCTTAGCTTTTTAATCTTTTTCTCTCTTACACTTTCGTTAACAAGGATTGTTTTATACAGCAATATCACATTAACTTTTTACAAGAAGTCAATATTAACTTCCCATGATTTAAGGAAGTTTGTCTCCTTGTTTGTGGCTGAATTTAAGAGCTCTTCCACAAATCCATTCAACATTCAAATATTGTAGAGCTTTCATACAAAAAACAATTCACAAGAAATAAGAAAGCTAAGCTGACAGCACTTAGCATGACAGCACCAAGGAAATTACTGTCAACACAGTTCTTCTTCTTTCAGTTAAGGCTCGTGTTTTCACTATGAATTCTCCAATTGAGGCTCATACGCTTCGTCTTCCCTTTCAAGACAAAAACTTCATTTGAAGAAGTCATGGGGAATGCGTGTCTTGTTTCTCTCATCAGTGGTTTTTGCTCTTGGCCACACTTAGCATGACAGCACCAAGGAAATTACTGTCAACACAGTTCTTCTTCTTTCAGTTAAGGCTCGTGTTTTCACTATGAATTCTCCAATTGAGGCTCATACGCTTCGTCTTCCCTTTCAAGACAAAAACTTCATTTGAAGAAGTCATGGGGAATGCGTGTCTTGTTTCTCTCATCAGTGGTTTTTGCTCTTGGCCACACTGTGGTTGCTTATAGAACTAGCTGCAGAGCACGGAGAAAGCTTTTGTTCACCGAGTTGACCCAGAAGCTGTGAGTTATTCTTTTGGTTGATGATAGCTTCTAATAAAAATTCAATATATAAATATTTGCTTTTCTTGCAGCTAATTAAACTCAAATTGCAGGTGTCTTGTAAAAATGTTTTCTCTGGTTACCAGAAGTTGCCACGATGTCCCACTCCTACTGCAGGAAGGACACCTAAAAGCGACAGTGAAATGAGGCGAAAGCCTTTTGGCGTGGTTCATGATGAAGGGGAACTACCTATCAGATTGCTTGCTGATATTGACAGCTTATTCCTTGCATGTCAAGGGCTTACAATCCACTACAAGCCATGCTTGCCTGGTTCTTTATCTTCTCCAGCATTTTTTGGGCCTTCTCCTGGCTGTAGCTCACCAAAGATGACAGTCGGAAGGCTAAAACTTGAAAGGCGGCCATTCAACATGTTGAAAACACAGCATGATCATCATAGGAGTTATAGCAATCAGTTTCATAGCTCTTCTCTGTATGCTCCACTATTGGAGGTGTCTCCAACTTCTCCTGTTCTTTCTGAAGAAATTCCTGCTCTGACCCTAGATGCTGCTTGTGAGGAGAATGAAGTGAGTTCAGTGAACTGTGGATCTTCCTAGCAGGATACGGCAGAAAGTGGCCAGTTTGGTATTGTTTTAGTTCATGGCTTCGGTGGCGGAGTCTTCTCATGGAGGCATATGATGGGGGTTCTTGCCAGGCGCCGGCAAGTTAAGGTGGAGGTGAAGGGAAGGAATGAACTTCAAACCTTGACAAAATTAACACTCTAACCATGGATGCTTTTAATTAATTTCAGAAGTAATTTTTATATCTATGAAAAGATTTTCTGTGACAGAAAATGAAGATACTTTCCCGATCAGACGGAAAATCTTCCGTTTCAGCATCTCTGTCCCTGTTGTTTTGAAACGTGTGGCTAGAATTGTAATTCAAAGACACCGTCTAAAATTAGGCCATTGCCTTAAACCGAAGTAATAGGCCCAAGTGGGTAATAGAATTTGAGTCAGTATATACGTGATGACATGCCGTCTTATTTTGAAATAGTATGTTCCGACATAATTGACTTGGATTAGAAGGCAATCAAACAAGAAAAACTATATGTGCCAATAACTTATTTTCATAACAACTTTAAATCTTGAATAAAATTCGAAGTTTATGTTAAAATTATTTTAGTGTTGATAACTTATTTTCATATCTAATAGTGTATCAATCATCATAGCCGCACCAGTACAACTTATTGAAATACAAAATTTCAAAAATATCATTATATACCTCCTAGCAATCAATAATTAAAATTAATTGTACAGATTTTTCATAACCCTGTTTTCTTGGCAAAAAAGGATCCTACTTAGTTGCAAGGTCAAGAACCCACTCAAACATATCCGGAGAACATGACGTAGTTATGGGTCCATCAACCACAGCCAAGACTTCCTCAAACTGATAAAGCAGAACTTTAAACATAATCGAAGAAACGCATTCCACCGGAACTAAATAAAGTCGTTTTTGCTTTTCATTACCATCGTCTACATAAATTGGGATAAATCCTTTTGGTACTCTAGTTCTTTTCCTACTCTTCAACTTGAGTAAGTTGCTGCTAGTGACCCAAGTTTCCCTTGAATCTTGTTAATCCTTTGGACAAGATTACAGTTCTTGAAATGCATAATGAGCTAAGAAGAACGATCGATATCGAGTAATTATAGAGTAAAGGCCTTTGTTTAGTGTGTGTTTAATATATATACTGTCTGGGGATAGCTAGCTGGTCAATCCTTTCTCAGATTGAAAAGGGTTTCCAATTACCGTACTGCAAAAGATTACTCACTCTTCGTTCATTAACTCTAACAGGGAAATAAGCATCGATATGCTTCTCAGGGTCAAATGCATCTTTGGGATTTTCTTCCTTGTCTTCCCCCTTCATCACTGCCTCCTAGTCTTCCAGCTCTTTAGCTACTGCAATCTACAGTAACGACAAACCTTTAGTATTAGCATTTCTCCATCTATACATTAGGGACATACTTGTGCAATTCTACATTGGGACTTACAGCTGTACTACTATCCATTTCTATGAATGCAGCTTGCATCTTGCCATATATTTCCAAGTTGCTAGCTTTCTGTTTGATGCTTTCTTTAGCACTTTAAACCATTTTCCTCCGAATCAACTGCACATTATTAGACCGATTAAAGAAGTATAATTTATGGACTTGACTCTATAAGAAACTACTCCTTTAAACAGCAGGTTCCACACTTCACAATCTGTTTAAAAGACAAAAACTGGATACTAATAATCATTAGCAAAAACACCCCATAACCAAAACTTTAAAAAATGTTCACGTTATCAATTATTACTTCTAACATGTATCATACGATGTTAAATCTTTTATTTATTGTGGAAGACAGAGTCCATTTGTATAGAATCATTTTCTTGGAACAAAGATGAATTTCCCTACGTTAATCTTTTGCTGGTATATGTGTATTGGGTTTCTTGCCTTTGACGGACTGAAATGCAATTCAACTTGAACAAGAAAGAAAGAAAGTGGACAACCGAAAAAAGGACCTTAATTTAGAGAGGAACTTCGTTTTGTAAATAATTTCATTAAAAATGAACAGCAATAACAACAGTGAAATCAGTTCATTTTGTCTAATTAAATTAAAGTATCACATGGTGTTTGGTTCCTTGTGTAGAAAATTAGGGTTAAATCATATGTAAATTTCTCTTTTGGACTCCAAGAGCCAAATGGGTATGTACGTTCCCTTTTAAAGAACCAAATTATTCATAATCAGATGTTTCGAAAAGAACTATTGATTATTTAAAATCCTTCCAACCCACTGTTTTGTTATTCCTCTTTAGGAACCTTTTTCGATTAATTAGGTTGGATATGAACTCCTAATCTCATAAATTTTTGAGGGTAAAATCACACACCAACAAGAAATGCAGTTTCGGTTCGAGTTGGGCCTGGTATTATGCTGATCCATGCTGGACTCAGCCTCTAAAAGCACCAGCTAAGTAGAAACGGCAGCGTGTTTGAGTAAATAAAATTGATTTCTCCTCTTCCCAACTGCAAAACCCTAAAACCCCAA